CTTACGTTCAATGTACCAAAATCAATAAACCCGAAATCTGTGTAACATTAAAAAAATTCAGTGTTTTGCACATTTATTTACGAGCACATCGCCCACAGTAACTGGACAAATTTATTCAAACGCATATTTTTCGCGCCAGCTTTCGCAGCACCACAACGGGAAGTGTTAGCTCATTAAATGCTGCGTAGTTGAGGAGCAAAAATTTGCAGTATTTGAATATACAAAAAGGAGAATTCTTATCGGTTTTGTGGAATTACCAAACAGAAAAAAAAACAATTCTTAAGAACTGCGCTAAAAGTACGACATTGCTTTACACAAAAACATTCAAACTCTTTGTGAAATTATTAGCGAAGAAAAGTTGTGAAATTAATTTAAAAGAAATGCAGCCTCTAAAACGTTTCACACAATGCGGCAGCCTGACAATGCTGTTTGGTGTGTTCATTGTACTCTTCGGGGTCAGTTCGACAGCTTTGACAACATTTGGCAAGACGAATAGTGACAAACCAACACCAACGCCAATAAGTAAGTTTTCAAGTAGTCTAATTAAACGAACTCTATGCACTTTTTAGAGGGTTGAAGAATTGGTTTGTTTTTTAAAAAGAAGCGAAGAAGCTTTCACTATTGGTTCGAACTTTTCAGCACCCTAGATTTTCATACCATAAAAAAAATTAAACGATATGCAGCATCGAAAATACTCAGCTTCATACTACATACCTATAGCCCAAACCCCGCATTGGTTCATTACATTTTGCTTCACATTGGGCACGTTCAGAAGGTGCAACAGTTGAGCGCAACCGTTTCACATAGGGGCCAAAATTATTTTTATGAATATTTCAACTCGAAAAGACGTGTTTTGTCATATGGAGTTGTAAATGTTTAAAATCCATTAAATATAGGTTAAAACATTAACAGAGTTGCCACCTGTTAAAAAAAAAATTTCAATTAGTTAAATGAATCGCTGCAATATGGGTATCAACGGAAATGGGCTTGAAAAGGCTTTATCTCTATGCAACCTCCCAGGGTTTAAAAAATCAAATTCAACTTTAATTTAAGGAATTAATTAATTCAAATATGTATCACAGTATAGGTAAGAAAAGGGTGTATTCGAGGTACAATTAATGCGGCAGTGTTACTTTTTATGAAAGAGAGAGATTTGACCGACTCTGCCTACGTCAACGTTCGAGGAGCAAAATTTTGACAATCAGTTACTCATCATTGGCAAATCAAAAGCAACATAAAAATTTTTACTGCGCAATTTCTGCAGCATTTTAGAAAATTTTCAGTTGATCATCAGCAACATGTAATCCGGAAAGCAACAAGTATGCAATATTACGGTAATTATTCCATAGCTCGAACGCACCCAATGTAATAAAGCTACATTATTGTAATAATAAAATTCTTATTTATTGTTAAGAGAATTTCGTAAGTATTAACTTGGGGTAAATTAACGTCCTCAATTACTGAAATATCGAACCTTTCGTATATTCGACGCATTGCTTTTCCATACCAAGGCTATTAAGTGCACCGAGTTTGGTACAAATCAATAAATCGGTTACCAAGATATACATTTGTGATCAAAAGTGCGCGGCGCTACGCCCATTATCAAAAAAATTCTAATAATTTTATTTAATGCTAAGAGGTTATTCCAAGAATCGAATTAGCTTCAGTAGTTATTTATTTATCGCAGTTTTCGCGTTTCTGTAAATTACCGTTATATGGGAAGTGGGCGTGGTTATCGCCCGATTTCAAGAATTTTTAGCAGTTACGTTAGATTTATATAGCCTTAGCAAGGCTAATACCGAGTTTGGTACGGATTAGTAAAGCGGATACTGATATATAGCATTTAATCATAAGTGGGCGGGGCCACTCCCATTTTTTTTTTTAATTTAATAATAATCCTATTTTTTCCAAAATTTTACTTCACATACCAATTTTCAACAATTTGGATACAATATTTACTGAAAATATACAACAAGTTCCTTAATATTCACAAAAATTAACAAAAAAATACTCGTTGAAACTCGCTATATTCGTTACATTTAAATAGAACTTTTGCTTAATAAAATGATTAAAAGATATTTACGCTTAAATACATTATTACCTTCTGTATGCGGATCCATCACTACTTTTTAAGAATACAATGCAGAAATGAAAATATTAACTTAAAATCGTCACGATCTTATTAGAGAGCGAAAATTTATTTATAGGCAGCGTTAGAATATTCTGCTTCCGGTCAACGTTGAGCGTTCGCTGTGCATGTTAGAAAAGTGAGGGGGACTGGGAATTGTTATTTGGAATGTTCTCTATCGAATGTGGCAAATTTTTAAAGTTTCCTTAAAAATTTCGTCAAATTGGTTTTTGGCCGCCTAAATCGTTCCAATACCCCGATGTGCGTTGTTATAATACGGTGTTTATACATGAGACGATTTTACAGGCAACTTTTAGTTGAAAACAACAATCGCCTGATGTAAATGGCTTTTCAACTAATCGCTTCCAATGAAGTTGGGGGGCAGCCAACTTTTGATTCCACTAATCGCCGCTAAAATGGCCTGTAAACCATGGTAACACCCTTTAAACATCAAGAATTAGTGAGCAAAATTGTGCGCCTTCTGAACGTTTTCACACATTAGCTGTCACATTCAACTGTCAAAGGTACACACAACATGTTGTCTCAAATGAAAAGAAAAATATTACAATCATTAAACCCGCAACTGTTGAGCTGATCAGAAGTACACAACAACGCGCTCAGAAGGTGCAATCGCAACAGTTATTGAACTATTGCACCTTCTGAACCTGTCCATTCCATCCAGTACTGCTGGAGTCAATCGCTACTTTTGAACCGCTACCGCACCGACTCCTATGTAAGTAGCTACTCTATTAACTCGTGGTAGTGCACATGGTAGTGCAGAATCGAAACAGTCGCAAACAGAATAGCGAAAAACTACGACAGAGGGCGCCCATAAATCATGCAAGTGACTACTTTAGTAAGTCCCAGTAGTGCAGAGAGAGCCGATGGTGACTACCGCCTAGGACATTGCCTTGTTAAAGTAATCGATGAAATACACTGCAAGTAGTCGGTCGGTAATTGACGGAGTTTACCAGGTAGCTACCGATTCATCAGTCCTGTAGTCGCTCCCCCGTACTGCAGGGTTGCTTTACAAATACCGCTGAAACTCGCTAAAATAAAATTATCTGCTGTGCTGTGCAAGAGTTCGAGAATCCCCGTAATGTTTTTAAAAGCTGGTAAACAGTTTATTAAGGACGAAACGATACGAGTAAATACACGTATATCCTCGATAGTTTTCGTTCGATACGAACTTTTAAACCGATACCTTTCGGAACTCGTTCTAAATAGTTTTGTAAGCGAAAGTGTTGCCAAAATATCTCAAACGGATGCATTCTCGTGTACGTTGGTCGGGTGGGATAATGTTGCTTGAAAAATGAGATCTCTTTCTAACTACTACTAAACCAATTTATCTTACAATTCAAGTACAAAAAACTGCTGTTGCGTTACAAATAGTTTTCCACTTAATACTAGATTTTGCAATTTTTTAGCCCAATGGATTCCACGCCCAAAACCTTTTTGATGTTTTGGAATATTACAATACAATAGAAAGCTAATAATTGATTTTTATGTCTAAAATTTATATTTATATTTAACTTAGATATCTTAACGAATTATAGTATGATGGTTGCCCTTTAATCAACGTAGGTTGGTATTGAAAATGGACGAAATCGCACGGTATCCCCGCCCATTACAGGGTAAGCTCATTCTCTCAATTCGTCGGTCGTAATTTTTTTCTTACGTTTGCAAGCATTTGATATAACTACATAAATATGAAAATAAAAAAATTTAATTGTTCACACTTGTTGTTGTTTGAGATTGAAAATGAGAATGGACACGTTAAGAAGACGCAACAGCTCCGTAACTGTTGCGATTGCACCTTCTGAACGCGTTATTGTGTACTTCTGATCAACTGAACAGTTGCGTGTTAGAGGATCGAAATTTTTTTTCCGATCATTTCAGACTATAAGTTGGTGTGTACCTTTGAGAGTTGAATTTGACAGCTAATGTATCAAGCCGTTCAGAAGAAGCATAACGATCACTGATTTTTTTAAGCAACGGTTGCGCTCAACTACTGCGCCTTCTGAGCCTACCTAATGTGTGTGTGAGTTTCAGTTTTGATTTTTTAAATAATAAACGAACGATTAAACGATCGTCACAAGGTTTGGGCGATAAATTCGTTTAAATCCTTCAAGTCGCCGGGGACCGATGGTATTATACCTGCGCAGCTGCAAAAGGCTCTGGAGGTGCCATGTAATTGGTTGGCTCCTATTTAGGAGAACTGCGTGAGGACTGGGTACTTCCCCAAGGCTGCGAGGGTAGGCAGTGTTGCGTTCATCCTTAAGGCCGGAAAGGCTCTTATGTTTCCCCTAGGCCGATCAGTCTGTCTTCGTGTTTGCTAAAAACACTAGAGAGGCTGATAGACCTGTACATAAGAAACGCGATTTCTTGTGACTGTCTTCAAGCGCTCAACATTCTTATTGCAAGGAAAGGTCGGTGGATACCACCCTGCACATATTGGTAAAGTGGTTAGAGGAAGCCTTCACGTACAAAGATTATGCAGTAGGGGCCTTCCTCGATATCGAGGGGACCTTCAACAATGTCACTGCAGAGGCAATAGTCAAGCCTATTCATAATCTAGGGATTGCGACCAACCTAATAAGGCTTATCTATAGTTTACCTCGGGACAGAACTGAAAGGAACTGTCGCGACGGAGTGGGACAACGCTTGCACTCAGCCCAGAGTCAATACGAGCACTCCTCAAGGTGGTGTTCTCTCTCCCCTGCTCTGGATTGCGGTTGTAAAAGGCGTTGTAGAGGAACTGGAAAAAGTGGGCTGTCGGATGATCGGCTATATAGATGATGTGGAACTTTTGGATAAGGGACGATTTCTATACACCCCCTTTGATCTGGCTGAAGGTTACCTGGACCAGTTAACTAGGTGCGCGATCAATGGCGGCCTCACAGTGAATTCCAGCAAGACGGAACTTGTATTGTTTACCAGGAAGTACAAGATACCTGTTGTGGCCCTTCACGCGATTAGGGGTGTACGTCTGCGGCTCTCAGACAGGGGCAATTACTTAGGCTTGATCCTGGACAGGAAGCTGTTGTGCAACCCTAACATTGAGGAAAGGGTGAGAAAAGCGTCGGTTGCTTTATACTGCTGTAGGCGAACTATCGGTAAAAGGTGAGATCTCTCCCCAAAGTATTTCATTAGCTCTATGAAGCCAGATTTAAGCTTATCTTGTTTAATGGAGCCTTTGTTTTGGTGGAACTCACTAGAGAAGTCTACACTTGTAAAAAACCGGAGCGTATACAATGGATCGCCGTTATCGGAGTTAGCGGAGCATTCAGAACAACTCATATACTGGCGCTTAAAGTCATGTTGAACACGGCACCTGCGGATATTGCAGACAGAAATGTCGCAGCACGAACCGCTATTATGCTCAGGGGTACCG